ATTAACAATCTCAATGCTATATTAACCCACCCTTTCAATGGTGCCACATGTTCCCAGATCTGAGGTTTGGCATCCTTATGCTTGCATATCTGAAACAAATTGAAAAGTTACAATCCCTTATCAAAAATTAGAATGAACTTAATGGACTTATAGTGTAATTCAGCTTCATCCTTACTTGGAGACCAGCAACATCATCAGTGGCCAAGAGAGTAATCAAACCAAAATCAGAATGGGCACCGGCTCCATATAATCCCTTGTGGGATCAGATATTAGACCTAATGAACAATCAATGAATCAACATTACACAAGTGACATCAATCAACAAAAAAATTTTTGCATGCTCCACAATGGAGTTTGGTAGCTTTTGTTTCAATTTTAACCTTCATAATGTAGCAGGCGCAACACAGCAATGGGCTTGCCAAGAATTTCTTGCTGATCAAAAAAGTTTCCCTCAAGGTCAAGTGCAAGGGCTATGAGTCTTGCAATTGCTTTTGCCACCTCACTGAATGCGTACATAGAAAGATGAAAAAAAATAATGTGAATTAGACAGAAGAACAAAGTCCAAGACTCCATGTTGCCTTTTACATTCAAAACCAATTCAAGGTTGCTCATTACACGAAAATTCCGGCTCTATAATTTCTGAACAAGTCTTACAGTAGGAAAAGACACCATGGTCTCATCAGAACTAGGCAAAAACTATAAGAGGTTTCGTCTATAACATGAACTCGGCAGCTAACGTTATTCGATCTTTAACCTCAGATGGAAATCTCTTTTGTTTTCCCAAGATTCAAAGTTGTCTAAAAAATAGAAATCTTAGAAAAATGCATCATACAAGAATCCATAAAGAATAGTGAAGCATAACACATTGTAGAATTTTGAGAGTGAAGTGCAATTGAATCCATTTTTTGGGACGAGTTAGACAAATTTTGGGACACGTAAACAATTGTTATCACAAAGAATAGAGAATATTAGTGGTGGGCTTCAGTTAGCTAATAAAAAGAATAGATCCAATTATCAAAGAAGGGTTCCTGAAAGCAGTATAGCATAATTGATGCTAACTGAAAAAAATCGTAAGCTCGTATATTTGGTAGATTCTACAAAATTACAGTAGATGATATATGTATATATGTAACTACACACACACACACGTACATATGCATATATAAAGGAATCAAATGCCTTCAAACAATATACATCACAAAAGAATGCATCCTATGAGAACCCCTAAAGAATACTCGATTATCATGATCTTCTGCTTTCCTCATAATGTGATCTTCTCACAACACTTCCTAGTTGATGCATACTTTAAGATGCCAATAACATATTGATGTCTTCATTAAACAAACATCAATGAAATGTAACTGTTCAAACATTCAAACCATGTCCAAATAGTTAAAGTCCAATTTGAACAAGAGTTATTCCCCATGTATTTTTGGTAGTGCATGGAGGAGTACATATGTCTGTCATATACAACCTAGAGTTCTATTTGATAAAATAGAGGCCTAACGAACTTACAGTACTTCTCGATGGTATTTCTCCATAGTTTGCCTCCATCCGGGCAAAATATCTTGCAGACATACAAATAGTTCAAGGAATCAAAAGATTTTACAAAACCCACAAGCAGAAACAAAAATAGGATACGTGAGCGTAAGTGTGCATGTGCACATGTGTGTGTGTGTGCATGCGCGAGAGAGAGTGAGAGAGAGAGATTAAAATGTGCCACGACCAATGAAATTCTTATAGACTATTTAACATAGAAAAAATTGTTCCTTCACAAGAGAAACGAATTGTTTAGGAAAATTACTTGTCGAAGGCCAAACATTTGGCCCGAAAAATGGCTTCTCTGTGTCAGAATCATCATCAGGTACTTCAACACCAATATAATATCCCTCCTTGTAATCTCCTGAATCCATAAAACAGGAAAATCACTTTTTTGCCGAAGTATCGCATATAATGTTGACAAACCACAAATGACATATAAGCAACCAACTGAAAGAAAAAGAGGAGTAGGACAAATGCAGCCAAATCATTGGACAGTGTTTCATAGTACAAAGGCAATAATACAGTCGGAAGATGAAAAAATATATACACACGTACTGCATGGACACGTATACTAACACATAAAAGAGGCCATTAACAAATGTTGGTCCTGTGATATAGGGCATTGGGATTGGTGTGGACTTCAATTTATCCTTCAGCATTATGTAGACTTGCACAAGTATGTGTCCTTACATGCAAGCAAATTACAATATGTCGAAGACCAGGTCAACCAGATCATTCTAATTTATCTGTAGCACTTGACCATCATCCACGGTCATACCTACTCTTCTGGCCTTCCACTTGATCTACCGATAATTACCGAGATGTTTCACGGGAGTACTATTCCTGGTAACTTTCGTCACAGATTGGGGCATAGAAGTTTTCTATTATGATTGATGTTCAAATTCAATTGTGAAGGGGAAAACAGTGGTATGACCGATATTCGACCCAAGGCCTTTTTAGTGAGGAAGACTTGTGTCAACCATGATATCATTACTATTGTGTGCATGATGTGTGGGTAACATCTTAAGGAATTCTTTTTGCATAGGTCTTTCTGGCATTCCCCTTATTTAAGAAAATATTCAAAGGTCTTCACTAAAACTTGTATCAAATACAACATTGCATAAACTGTTACATTACGTTATTCATATTGCTATATTATTGCTTCATTCAATTATACAAAAAAGAACGGCAACGAACTAACCATGAACTTGATTGATAGGATCCAAATGTTGATCTAGAACAGGGGTATATCCTCGATGCTTCTTGTTCCTTAGAAGCTTCATTTTTTCCTTTATGGGTAGATCAAAGAACCTTTTGCTTTGGGAAAAAGCCTCATCCATGAATTCCTCACTGATTCCATGATTGATAACGTAGAAGAAACCAGAATCCAAGCAAGCCTAATGCACAAGTGATGAACCAATACACTTAAGCCCAGAAAATAATATCAATTTAGATGAGATGTAACCAATATATGGGGAGGAGACAAAGCACATAAATTAGGGTCTAGACGGCACTGAGCCACTAAGGAGGACAAAGGACACAAGTGGGGCATTAAAATTGTCGGGTATGTTAGACAGAGATGAAGAAATCCAAGAAAATGAAGTGTAGTTATGCAATCACTTATACATAATATTGTTGAAACTTATGGAGATTAATAATTATACGGTGATTAATAATTACATGTGCATATTGTAACCTTTCTCAGCAAGGTGACAACTTTTATAGTGGAGGCCTGACTCTCCTTCTTTCCCACAAATAACAAGTGATATTTTCAGTATTCAGGTACCTTAGTTGTCCCACAGAAAATCAATTACTCGCTCATAACAATTAAAGATACAAGTCCACCCATTCAAAAAGGCACTTCCAAGAAGCTGTTGTCCCATTATCAAAATTGTCAATTGTTCCAATTCCATCATGTGGGTTAAGCACTGAAACTTTCTATAATTATTGATAGTTTCTAGCAAATAAAAAAATTCAGCACAATGGGCCAATTCAGTTGTTACTCAGAACTAACAACCACGAGGTCGTCAGCTTGGATGGTCAATCATGTATATATGCGGAAAGTTAGAATATGCATCCCTTGCAAGTGGCAATTCACATGTTGCTTACAGCCAAGGTAGGGCAGGTTGTGTAGATTCAATTCAATTACTGAATTGATTTTTTTTTATGCAATGAGCTTTGGGCTTTTGTGCTTGTGCACAAGGTGCTTCTGTAAAATTGGACCAAAATACTCGAAATAAATGACAAAATAGACAAATTGCTACATATTGACATAAAAAAAGAATGGTTCTAGAGGGGAAAAAGAGGGGAAAAAAAAGGTATTGAAATCTAGATTAATTATACATCCTTCGGCATCATTCAAGCTAGTTGATCTTCAGTTTCATCCAATCATTTTATGTATATGTTCCTGATTTCCTCAGCTATGTTATTTGACATACAAAATGCAACGGACAAGAATTGCAAATGGAGCAAAAAGACTAAATATCGCTTAGTGCTTCATAAAAATCCTCCGTGAAATTATAGAATCAAAAACAAATATTAAATCAAAATTTAATCAACTAATCGCGACTATTTTTTGACAGGTTTAATGAATTCACCAAGAAATAACCAAATTGAATCACGCTTATAATCCATGGCCTGCTAAGAGCAAATATTTTGTACGTATATATATATATATATATATAGAGAGAGAGAGAGAGAGAGAGAGAGAGAGAGAGTACCTGTTTGAGTAGAGAAACAGAGTGTTGAATATCAGGACTAGAGAGATCGATACAATTCAGGAAAAAAGTTGTAGCAGAATCCGAAAGAGATTTGATAGCTTCTTCGTCTGTGTTCATCATTTTCAAGAATCAAATTACAACAGACCTCAGGTCATGACATTCACATACGAGAAAAATAGAGTTCTCGTTCACTACAGAGAGCTATAAATTGTTGTGACTTGACAATTGACAACCCCTTGGAGACAACGTTTGACATGACAATTCACAACCACTTGAGTGGTGTTTGTTTTTTTGATTAGGACTTGAGTGGTGTTTGGATAGTAGGTTAAAATTGGTCATCCACTAGTTGGAAGGGATAAAATAGGAGTGACATAAGTACACTAAGACCCCTACCATTTGATTATATTGTCTTTATACCCTTCTCTTTTCTTTTGTTTTTGGTAAGCACCCTGTACTCAATGCTCCATTTGGGAAATAAGGATATAAAGTATGAGAGATAGAAATTAGGAAAGATACACTTTCTATCATTCAAGGAAGTAAAATAGGAATGATACACACTTTTCTTTCTTTGTGTCTAGTTAGATTGATAGAAAATAAAAATGATCATTTTTTTTTGTGCCTGCTAAGATTAGGGATGACAATCGAGTCGTGTCGAGTCATTGCGAGTTCATGACGAACATTAGTCAAACATAACTCAACTCATTTAATGAATCGTGTCATGTCGAGCTGACCTGTTTTATTTTTGTATCATGTTCGTGTTTGTATTTACGTTGACCCACATAAACTTTGAATAAAAAAATTTAATGCTAATATTTTATTTTGACTTAATTGAATCCATGCTCATACTTTTTTTATAATCTAAAAATTAACTTAAATAAATATAATAATAATAATAGGTAAAAATATATTTTTTATATTATAATTATGTCAATGCTTAATAATTAGTTACAAATAATTAGCATTTTATGTCTATAATACTAGTTAAACATGTTAATTTCGTGTTATAATATAAACGAGAAAATAGAGAAAGTGTTGATTTTTAAATAAACGGGTTGATGTGTCAATTTTGAGTTTGACGGGTTCAATTGAATATGAACCCTTTATATTCTGTGTTTGTGTGTCAGATCATTTTCGAGTTTGTGTCAAAAACTTCATGTAGATTTTGAGTCATGTCATCGTGTTGAATAAAAAATTTACACCCCTAACAAAGAGGGTAAAATATTTTTTTTTTATTTTTAAATTTTTAAAATTTTTTTAGAAAAAAATATAAATGCATATTTTATCATTTTATTTATATATGAAATTAATGTATTCATAATATATGTATATATCAAAAGATATATAGACAAATAAGATATATTTTCACACAAATACTTAACTTTCCATCCATTTTCGTTCAGATTTGGAGGGATTGATTTTCGTAAGTTGGAAGGAAAGCTCATTCATCCACTTTTTCATCCGTTCTATTTTCCTTCCTTACCAAACATGATGTTTTATTTATCCCTCAAACTTTCCATCCTTCCAACTTTTCATCCTTTCAATTTTCCGTTCTTCCGTTTTCTCATCATACCAAACAGAGCAGAAGTGTTATTACTCAAGGCTATTTAGTTCTTGGATGAAGAAAAAATTAACTTAGGTGGTGTTTGATAAAACTAAAACACTGAATGCTGAATGCTGAATTTTTTAATTCGCATACTGTTTGGTATCAACTAAAATTTAGGTATTTAATTGAATCAAACTATTTCACAAACATAAAGAGTTGAAGTCTGAAAATTATTATTAATCTAGTTTTGTCCATTTTTCTAACTATCTCTCTACAACTACTTTATTCCTACCTGCACCACCACAATGGTTGTGGTGATATTACTATTTTTTTGTTAAGCGTGTTATTGTTTGATGTTACTATTTTTTTGTTGAGCATGTTACTGTTTGATATTGCTATGTGTGTGTGTGTATTACTGTTCGTACGCATACACATATATATATATATATAGAGAGAGAGAGAGAGACTACATGTTTGAGTAGAGAAACAGAGTTTTGAATATTAGGACTAGAGAGATTGATACAATTAAGAAAAGAAATTGTGCCAGAATCCGTTAGAGATCTGATAGCTTCTTCATCTGTCTTCATCATTTTCAAGAATCAAATTATAACAAACCCCAGGTCATGAAATTCAAATACTAAAAAAATAGAGTTCTCGTTCACTACAGAGAGCGAGAAATGGTTGTGACTTGACAATTGACAACCACTTGGAGACAAAGTTTGACATGACAATTGACAACCACTTGAGTGGTGTTTGGATGGTGAGTTATAAAATGGTTATCCACTAGTTGTAAGGGATACAGTAGAAGTGGTATACTACCATTTGACTATATTGTCTTTATACCCATCTCTTATCTTTTGTTTTTGGTAAGCCCCCTGTACTCAATGCTCCGTTTTGTAAATGAGGATGGAAATTAGAAGGGATATAAAGTAGGAAAGATACACATTATATCAATCAAGGTATGAAAGGAAGAATGATTCACTTTTCTTCTTTTGTGTTTATTTAGAAGGATGAAAAATAAAAATGATTAATTTTTTTTTTGTCCTTGCTAAGATTAGGGGTGACGATCGAGTCGTGTCATGTCAAGTCATTGCGGGTTCATGTCGAACATTAGACAAACATAACTCAACTCATTTAACAAATCGTGTCATTTCGAGTTGACATGTTTTATTTTTGTATCGTGTTCGTGTTTGTATTTATGTTGACCCACGTAAACTTTGAATAAAAAATTTAATGCTAATATTTTATTTTTACTTAATTAAATCCATGCTCATACTTTTTTTTATAATCTCAAAATTAACTTAAATAAATATAATAATAATAATAGGTGAAAATATATTTTTTATATTATAATTATGTCGGTGCTTAATAAATAGTTATAAATAATTAGCATTTTACGTTTATAATACCAGTTAAATATGTTAATTTTGTATTACAATATAAACGAGAAAATAGAGAAAGTGTTTATTCTTAAATAAACGAGTTGATGTGTCAATTTTGAGTTTGTCGGGTTCAACTGAATATGAACCGTTTATGCAACTGAATATGCAACTACTTTATTCCTACTTGCACCACCACAATGGTTGTGGTGATATTACTATTTTTTTGTTAAGCGTGTTATTGTTTGATGTTACTATTTTTTTGTTGAGCGTGTTACTGTTTGATATTACTATATGTGTGTGTGTGTGTATTACTGTTCGTACGCATACATATATATATATAGAGAGAGAGAGAGAGAGACTACATGTTTGAGTAGAGAAACATAGTTTTGAATATTAGGACTAGAGAGATTGATACAATTAAGAAAAGAAATTGTGGCAGAATCCGTTAGAGATTTGATAGCTTCTTCGTCTGTGTTCATCATTTTCAAGAATCAAATTATAACAGACCCCAGGTCATGAAATTCACATACAAAAAAAATAGAGTTCTCGTTCACTACAGAGAGCGAGAAATGGTTGTGACTTGACAATTGACAACCACTTGAGTGGTGTTTGGATAATGGGTTAAAAATGGTTATCCACTAGTTGTAAGGGATACAGTAGAAGTGATATACTACCATTTGAATCTTTTGTTTTTGGTAAGCCCCCTGTACTCAATGCTCCGTTTTGTAAATGAGGATGAAAATTAGAAGGGATATAAAGTAGGAAAGATACACATTCTATCAATCAAGGTATGAAAGAAAGAATGATTCACTTTTCTTCTTTTGTGTTTAGTTAGATGGATGGAAAATAAAAATGATTAATTTTTTCTTTTTTTGTCCTTGTTAAGATTAGGGGTGACGATCAAGTCATGTCATGTCAAGTCATTACGGGTTCATGTCGAACATTAGTCAAACATAACTCAACTCAGTTAACAAAACATGTCATTTCGAGTTGACGTGTTTTATTTTTGTATCGTGTTCGTGTTTGTATTTATGTTGACCCACGTAAACTTTGAATAAAAAATTTAATGCTAATATTTTATTTTGACTTAATTAAATCCATGCTCATACTTTTTTTATAATCTAAAAATTAACTTAAATAAATATAATAATAATAATAGGTGAAAATATATTTTTTATATTATAATTATATCAGTGCTTAATAAATAGTTATAAATAATTAGCATTTTATGTTTATAATACCAGTTAAATATGTTAATTTTGTATTACAATATAAACGAGAAAATAGAGAAAGTGTTTATTCTTAAATAAACAAGTTGATGTGTTAATTTTGAGTTTGTCGGGTTCAACTGAATATGAACCGTTTATATTTTGTGTTCGTGTGTCAAATCATTTTCGAGTTTGTGTCATAAAATTAATGTTGAGTTCGAGTCGTGTTATCGTGTTAAGTCAAAAATTTACACCCCTAAATAAAATGGAAAATTAATTTTTTTTTCTTTTGTTTAAAAAATATAAATACATATTTTATCATTGAATTTATATTTGAAATTAATCTATACATAATATATGTATATATCAAAAGATAAATAGACAAATAAGATATAAATTCACACAAATAATTAATTTTTCATCCACTTTCGTTCAGATTTTTAGGATTGATTTTGGTGAGTTGGAAGGAAAGCTTATCCATCCACTTTTTCATCCATCCTATTTTTCTTCCTTACTAAACATGATATTTTATTTATTCCTCAAACTTTCCATCCTTCCAACTTTCTATCCTTTCAACTTTCCGTCCTTTCAGTTTTCCATCATACCAAATAGAGCATAAGTGTTATTACTCGAGGCTATTTAGCTCTTGGATGAAGAAAAAATTAACTTAGGTGGTGTTTGATAAAACTAAAAACTGAAC